TAACGGCAAACACAGTGGGTGGAAAAAGTTCCTGCTGTCACTTAGCAACCGACATCCAGGCTGCGACAAACGATCCGATCCAACCCTGCCTCGTAATTGTACCTTTCGTTATGCCAGGTCTCGGAAGAATTTATTATTGTGCTTTCTTAATCCTGTGAAAAGGTCAGCAATTGGACAAACAATTTACGGATTGGAGAATGAATTATTTAATGGGCTCATTGCACCGCACAACCAAATATTAGAGATATGAGAGACCCCCCCCTCCCTACAGCTCTCCCTCCCAGGGAGGCGATGAATAATTTAGTCATCAGGGGCCACATCTTTGGTGAAAGCTATTACACGGCAACCTCAACCTCAATATGCGATAATGTCATCAGTGCTAAATTTGCTCTAACCCGCGGAATAAATGGTCAACTGAGCTGCAGCGGCAACGGGTCGAGCAGCAGCGGGGCGAAACTGTCAGGCCAAGTGATTATTAGCATTTATTCTAAGCTTTAGGAGAGGGGGTTCTATGGACTGCACACCACACAGGAGGCGGTTTCAGCTACGATTTAGCTACACATGGGGAAAATAGCACTTGTGTATACTGATGCTACTTATGCTATGTAATATTAAGTCAAATACAGGGCTTTTCAATTCTAGCTTTAGATCTTTCCTACATTTTAACTAGAAACTTCAATGGATGTTATTTAATAGACCACCACCTGGCATTACATTGTTGGAAGGTGGAAGGAAGGTGAATAAATCTAAATCTAGCTAAGCATGCATTTGTGCTACGTCCACAGCGTGAACAGCCTCATTATGCAACTACAGCTGCTAGCCTTGTAGCGCTGCATGCATCTGGAAAGCACATTCACAGACTATCAATTGGATTCAAGTTAAGACTTTGAATAGGCCATCCTAAAATAAATTTGCTTTGATTTAAACCTTTCCAATAAAGCCAGGCTCCTGTTATTAGAGTGGTGTTTTATGGCTGATTGGTGGAGCGATAGACTGATCCTTCACCTGAGCTATAGATCTCTTCAGCTCCTTGAGAGTTTCCACCAGCCTTTTGACTGCTGCTCTGTTTTTTTTTCCTTCTCTGACATGTCAGTTTAGGTGAACTACTGAGTCTTTACAGGTTTTCCATTATCCACCTGCAGACAGTGGTTTGATCACATCTTTAAAACTTGGGTTATACTCTCTGCAGCAGTGTCTTGCAGATATTTTTGATTTATGCCCAATTTTGAAGTGTGGTATGCGCTATATTATTCCCACAACTAAAGAGGGACAATCACGAATTAGCTGTGGGTCTCAATACGGCCGAGGCGGTGAGGAAGTGGGGGCAATTTTGTGTGACACCCCGAGGGATATGAGGGCGATAAAGAGCGGGGATCCAGAGGGAAAAAGGGTCCCAGCGTTCTCATGCACCTCTCTCTTCTAGCTGGTCCAACTTCATGAGTCGTTTTCTACAATGGCAGTCATACAAACATAACAAGCCGGCAAGGTACCAAACAGGAGATATGCACAGTGTAGAGTGGATGTAGATTTGACCAATCAGAGGCACTGTCTGCGGTCACCTTAAATTTTGGGGAGGTCCAGCAGAGCAACTGCGGAAGGGGCGGGGACGTCACTGCATTCACTGCAACACCTACGCAGACGACCCGGTTTCTGAGCATAAATCAGCCTTTAAATGGCTTCATGATGCTGTTTGTAAAGAAGCCTCAAAGGCCAACACAGAACAGCTGGATTTACACACAGAGTAACAAGGCAAAATCTACAATATAAAACATGCATTGTGTTTATTAAGTGGTATCACAGCAAAAGAGGCTAAAGACAAATATGTAAAATACTCTCATTTCAATTTCCTTCCCCTTAAAATGACCAATTCATTAGTGTTCAACGAATTAATAAAGTTCCTCTAAAATAGTGAAGTTTGTGGTTTCAAAGAGGAGAAATGGAAAAGAAAAGAAAAAAAAGAAGAATTCTGTTGAATACTTTTGCAGGACTGCAAACTTAGCCCCCCTTCATCCATTAGGATCCAATGTTACCATAATAACAATGATCCCAGAACAATGCTGTGCCTCGTTGGTGGCAAATCGGAGGCCCTACAGTCACCTCTGTCCATTTCTACAAACTCAATGAGGCAAAGATTATCTAGATGGTGCATCTGCATGATAGCACATATGGGATTACTAATTAAGAAACTTTAAATCAGGGTTATGAGATTTTGGATTTATGACCCATGAGGACGATAACGATTCATTTTGGGTCTAACCTTTTACTGTCCTGCATTAAGATCATGACCTCAATGAAGCAGAATAGATGGATGAATAGAATTGGCTTCAAAATAACTCAACAATGAGTGACTTTTGTAGGTCCTAACTCCTATAGGAGTAATCCCTAAGCTTTCATTTAACAATGTGTACAGTTCACGAGTTACTGTAAGATGCACTAAAATGAGTATACTTTTAATTTCCAAATAGATTAACCTAAAAAAGAAAATAAATACGACTCATGAAGCAAGGACTAGGGCCACCTTTCCATTCCCCAATCCATTTCCCAATCTGAGAGCAAAGGAAGTAAAAAAAAAAAAAAACATACAGCAAGACTGACTTATATTTAAGCTAATATCAACTTAAAAATGACCACTAAAGTTATGTTTTAGTATAGGATGTCAAAAATCAAACCCAAAACAATGAATGCCACTGTTATACAAAGCAGTTTATGTTGGGAATGATTTTTAAAAAGTAAGGCTAAACAATCTAACTATATATTTCAGTATTAGTTTTTTTTTTTTTTTTTTTACCCAAGGTTATCATACTGGTTAATTGCCAAACCCGTATTTGTTTTTTTGTGTTTGGGACCCCAACTAGGCTTTGCTTGTGGTACTGTCACTTGTGTAACAAAGACAAAGACAATAAAAATTTTCTAAGTCTAAATATATATTTCGTAATAAATTATGCAATATAGCATTTGATATTAGGTGCAATATATATATATATATATATATATATATATATATATTTATTAGGGGTGGGTATTGCCAAAGAAGTCACGATTCGATTCGAATCACGATTCACAGGCCACAATGCGATTCTATCACGATGCATCACGATACTTGAATTATTGCGATGCATCACGATACTTGAATTATTGCGATGCATTTCAATATTTTCACTGAACACTGTTAGAAAAAAATACAGCCCTTACCAGTGGCTGACTGGCTGAGTATGACCTGGGTAGTGTCTTCCAATTGATAAATAACTGAAAGCAACTGCATTCATACATAGCTGTATTTATTGAAATGACTTTTGGAGGTATTGCCATGAAAACAAATGTTACTATAATATATCAACTTCATTTTTACCTTTGTTTTTAAAACAAAAATGCTTCCAAACATCGGATTTGAAATGTGATGGAGCCGGACGAAGTTTCTCAATCTCCTCCATGTTTTGTTTTTGAATGACTTGGCGCAGTATCCCGCAGCCGGAAATGCTTGTGACACAAAGCAGCATGCGTCAACACATCCCCAGCGACATCTACTGGACTGGAAGTTGTATTACACTTGTTTTTGGCTGATGTTTTGCAACCATTTATGCAATTTTGTTTACTCATTTTTTAAAATTAATAAATCGATACTTGGCGTCAAGAATCGATGCAGTAGATCACGAAAATTTTAATCACGATGCATCATCATGACGATTATTTTACACACCCCTAGTATATGTGTATATATATATATATATATATATATACACATATATATATACATACACCCAGTGCAATAACGTGTATATATATATATATATATATATACACACACACACATACACACACTATATATATCTCCATATAAATACCCTGTAAACACCCTGTGCAATAAGTATAAATATCCATCCATATAAATACCACTGTAAACACCCAGTGCAATAACCTAGTACAATGATCCTTTTATTAAAAAAGCTGTCATATGTGGATGCACTGTGTATACTGTATATACCCCATGCACCTTTTTCCTCTTTTGTCACATCCTTTTTCTCTCTCTTTCTAAACTGAGAGATCAATAAAGTCAATCAATCGAAATGCTTAATGTTGTTTTTTTTTCTCCATTATATCAGGTAGTGATACCATTTTGGGCGGTTCAAATAATCTAAATGCATTTCTAAATGCTGATCCAAAAAAATATCTTTCCCTTTTATTCAACAGCAAGTCATACACCAGACTATGACAAATTTCTCTTTGTCTAAACAAACGCAAAGTAATGATATTTCATTCAACATTAGGAGGACTATAGCTTCTATCCAAGCAACAGTGAAGGTACAGTATAGCCATATGTCTGAACCGGTGTTAAAGCAACCCTGTAGCAACTGAAGGTAAGACAAACATGCGGGCCTAAAAGTTGTTGGATTATTAAATATTTCACAGCTATTGTTGGATCTTCGGGGAAGGATTAAACTATAATTCACCTCTGTTTTGGATTCGTGTACAATTGTGGTTTAAAGGGGATTTCTTTGGTACACAGCATGGTGCATTTCGGCGTTGGCTCGTGTCGGAGCTAAGCTAGCAACCCCTACCTGGCTTTGCGACGAGCTAACGGCCAAACACCGGGAGCCCAGAGCTGTCACACAGCTCACTCCAGACCTGCTTCTAGCTAACTAGCTTCGCCTTTTAGGACTCCATTTATCCATTTAACATTATTTAATATTATTTGTTCCTGGCGTTGCCTTACCGCTCAAGTTTAGTCTGTGAAGCAGCCGCTGTTCCCTACCGATGTTGAAGTGGCTCCTGTTTGTGGCGGAGTAACTGAGACCCAGCAGGCTGCCTGTGCGTCAGCCCCTCGCGCCGCACACGCGCAGGGTCCTCAAAATATGTCACGTCTTGTCGTAAAGCAGTTTTCTTCTCGGCGTATGGCAGTCGTTATAGCTGAATATAAGTTTAAAAATCACCTTCAGGAGTTGTTTTTCATCTGAAACGCGAATAGAAGTTGATTACAGTTTTCAGTCGAGTTGTGTCGTAAGATAAGACGCTTTACGGCGGCAGTGACGTAGGCCGCGCGAGTGTTCCTGCCGCGAAACGTGTGAAGTGTTTTGAGTCTGTTGCTAGATCGGCTGCTGCTCTTCAAGTGCAGAAACCTGTTAATGTTGGTCTCAGCCTGGTAAGTTTATATTTAAACAAAAAGTGACCACTGCTAACAACACTATGGAGTTTCTGAACTCATTTTTATTTTAAAAAAAACAGGTAACGTTCTTAATTAAACCGAAGAATGCAAATAGCACATGTTTATATGTTATAAGTAGCTTCTTAACTGGGATTCTATTTATTTACCAAGTATGTTAAGGATTTAGCAAACCAAAGTTCGTTGTAGAGCAGTTTTTATTCTGCCTTATGCAGGGCAGTGGTTCCCAATAGGGGTGCTGTTTGGGGTCATAACAATTAGCTGTGGGGTCCTGTGAATTTTCTCTTAATTCAGGCTAAAATTGATAATTCCACTGAACAATATACCTTATCTTAAATTTTGACAATATATAGACATGAGTCAGTAGTAAAAAGCAGGGGCGGAGCTAGATGGGGGGCCAGAGGTGGCCATGGCCACCTTTAGCCAATCGTTGGCCACCCCTACAGATGGTGGCAGCAGTAGTACTCCCAATTAGGGATGCACGATATTGGGATTTTGGCCGATATCCGATATGCCGATATTTTAAAACTCATGTAGCCGATAACCGATATCGATACCGATGTTAAAGCTGGACAAAAATAAGTAGTCATTGAAAATAGCAGTTTTGTTATCCATTTCTGACACTTTGAAAAATAATATACTCAAATATATTTTCATATGCTGATATCAAATTGATTTTTAAAAATGCGCATCGATCTATTTTACTTTCAAAATCTCGTGAAATTTCATTGTTCTGTTACAAACTTGTGATATTTTATAAATTCTTGTGAGATTTTTTGTTAGTAAAATAGATCGATACCGCGTCAATATATCAACATATAAAATATGGCAACATTTCTTGAATTTTCGGGGGATTTCCTAACATAACGATGACATATAGCAATATTTCATTAGTAAAAGAGATTGATATGGTGTTTTTAAATGGCAATATATCAGCATATGAAGATATTGTGTTATTTTAATGAATCAATATTTTTGCCCTCGTCTTTAGAAGTTTTTAAGTCTGTAAAAAAGAAGTTTTTGAGGAAGAAGAAGAAGTAGTATTTTATTATTTTTTTTAGACTTTAGAAACTCAGAAGCTGATCAAATATCGGGTTAAATATCGGTGGGGTAGCCGATGTCCGATACTCAGTTTTAAGGCCGATACAGGCCGATACCGATAGGGGGCCGATTATATCGTGCATCCCTACTCTCAATATTCGAAACATTTAAAATTTTCATATATTAAAAATTACTTGACAACTGAAACACTGTGGTTAGTTATATGCATCAAAAATACTAACATGAAAGTTGATATATATAGAATTCATGCTCTCTTCAGAACAAACTTTTCTGTTATGTGGGTTAGAGAGAAAATTATATGTCTCTGCAAGTCATCTAGGATCTTCAGTAAAATCATAGATGAGTAACTACTTTAATAAACACTTAATGTAGGTATTAGTCCATGTAAATATTAATTTGATGCAGAACTATTTGATAAAAGTAGATAAGTAATGACAATAGAAAAGAGGTTCGCCCCAGAAATTTGGTCCACTAAACCTTTTATTTAGACAGCATGGATGTTTAAATATGTGCGTCTATTTTTTAGCAAAGGCTGTAGGAAAGTATAGTTAGTATTGCTGATGAAGATTCTCTGTCATCCAGGTCATAGTCATTCCGTAAAAGTTTAAAAACAATCCACTGGACTTGGTTTCCAAGGTTTGAAGATGTTTCGCTTCCCCTCCAGGAAGCTTTCTCAATTCAAATTTTCTGAAACCGCAGTGAATTTTAGGCTTTATATAGACAAGGCCCTGTATTGCTTGAGAGGGGCGTGAAGGAAGCCATCTATGTTAACAGAGAAAAAACAACTTTAAACAGAGGTGGTAGACTCAGATTCCAGCTTCCAAAAAAATTTTAATTCAGTTATAGAGATGATCCCTTCCAGGTATCACCACAACCGCCACCCCATCACAGAGGAACAGAGTACCTCCTCTCTTCAGCCAGGTGAACAATCCCTCCTTTAACGGCCGACCCTTATCAATCATTGACAGGTTTCAGGTATTACAGGAGACAATCATCCCTTTAACGACAATCCCCCCTTCAAAGGCCGACCTTCAGAATCATAGACAGGTTTCAGATATTACAGGCTAACAATGGAACCAAATGATCCACTCGTTGGTTTCAATTTGCATGTTTCCAAGCAATACAAGGCCTTGTCTATAAAAAGCCTCAAACTCGCTGCGGATCCAGACGTTTGAATTGAGAAAGCTTCCTGGAGAGGTGGCGAAACGTCTTCAAACCTTGGAAACCTAGTCCAGTGGATTGTTTTTAAACTTTTACGGAATATAGTTAGTCATTTTTAGAAAATATGGATGTTGTGCTTGTTCCAGTTTAGATTGACCCTGAGGTTCTGGCGCCTTTCTGTTTTCGGTCACCCCTCAGTGTACATTGGTTTTTGACTGGCTACCCCATTAAAATTTTCTGGCTACGCCTCTGGTAAAAGGATGGCTTGATTAAAATGAGATTTTGTTTTGAGTGATATTACTTATAAGGCAAGGCAAGTTTATTGGTATAGGACATTTTAGTATTGGTATCCCTTTCCGGCTGTCTGTGTGCCGGGGCGCGCCATTTTTAAAAACCGAGGAACAACTACGACAAAAGGTTAATCGAGGAGGTTCGGAAGTACTCTCCTAAAAATTCCAGACTGACGGTTTAGAAGCATACCAGTAAAACTGGTTGGCGACCAGACGCAAGCGACATTTAAATTGTGTGCGGTTGCAGAAGTCTAATCTGCCCTAAAGCCTGTGAGAAACTGAACCAACACCTACACCATTTGTCCAGCAGGTGGCGGTAATAAGAGCACAACAAGTGGGTTTTCCTTTATTTCCACCGCCCACCAGCTATAACTAAATCCACAAACATAGAAAGTAAAAATAATTGACTTTTTCTTTTATAACTGCCTGCCTGATTAGTTTACTACTACTTAAACCAGATGCTAACATGCTTCTTAAGTAGGTAGGTAAACCTTGGATATCTGCAGCACGAACAGAAGATATTTTTATTCAAAATGTTATTTATTAAAGTCATTCAACATGCAAGGATTTGATACCTTGAATTTTTAATCATAAGAAAATATTTATATCAATTAGAAGTTGTTGATGATGAAAGGACTTCAAATGGATCTCCAGAAGCTCACAGATGGCATCTCTCCAATGGCAGTTGTGTCGGCATTAAACCATGAAAAACAAACAGAAACATTATATATTAACTGACTAAATTAGGTTTATATGAAAAACCAGTGTAGGGAAGGTTTTATGTTTCTTGTTTCCACAAGGAAAAAATAAAAGTGCTTCATCTGATCATTACTCCATATAAGTATTTTCCTTATACCTGCTTTAGTTAAAAATATCAAAGCTTTCTGGCAGAATAGAGGAAGTTTTGAGATGTACTTTCTTTCTTTAAAGACATCTTAAAATGACTTTTTATGTTATGATAATGAACGTGTAATGACTGGCTGATCCACTGATTTCTATTTATTCACTGGATTGCTGATAGGCCGTTGGTAGTAAACGGTGCTGTGAATTCACTATCCACCATATTGGTACTCCCTAGTTAGACTTGTCGGAATGTAAACAATACGTGCGCTACAGCATCAAGCAACTTTAAATCACACACTTACTTAGATTACTGCAATTTATGATAAAAAAAATAGGCACATGATATTGCATATTCAGTTTGAAGTCCATGAAGTTTATAAATAACATAATAAAACATATAATACAAATTCATCACAATAAAATGGGGGTGTTAACGGAGAAAAATAATACTTTAGTCAGATTTTAAGAATAATACACACTATCTGATGATGCCCCAAAAGCGCTAAATTGATCATGTACATGTAATATATGTGTATTGATTACATTGTTATGGTAATTACATTACATGCAGTTTTATGGTGTGACTCCGTGAATGTGGGGAGTACCAAGATGGCGGCAGGTGGTTTCATTTTTTTCTGCCTATCATTAATCCAGTGCAAAAATAGGGATCAGTGGGCTGATTGTGCAGCACATATCTGACTCCGTGTCCCGGCCTGACAGCACCAGGCTCTGGTGACTACAAAGCTCAAGTTCCGATGCGTAATTTTTTTGCAAAAAACAAAACACCTTAATACTTATTTTATGATAAAATAAAGCTCTAAAAACATTAGTTTATTGTTACTGCTGGTGCTGATGGAACAAAGCGCCCCGGCTGTACATCGCCTCACCCCCAACAAGCCCTGAAAGCTAGAACCAAAGCCCCTGGAAAAGGGAAATTACCCAGTTAAATGTGTAAGGAAACGCTAAGTGGGCTTTCAAAAGCTCCAGGGTTTTTGTATTACAATAGAAAAAGGGCTGTGATTTGCAAACTGCATTTTGCATTTACTCAGGCTATGTTTGCCTGGAATTACAATCAGCCTGCTGATCTGCAAGGTTTGTGTTGGAAAGAATAAAAAGTGATGCATGCATGTTTTCTTTTAAAAGGCAGGTTTGTTTTTTATCTTCTAGATTTAAAACCCATCCTACTGGCTGATGCAGATCTGCTACTATTGATGGATAACGGTGAACCACAGACCTCCGACTGTGACGCAAGATGGTTGCAGCAATTTTCAGAACTTCCTCCCAAGCTGCTGCAGCGCCTCATGCCTTTTCAGAGGGAGGGAGTGGAGTTTGCTTTGTCTAAAAGCGGACGGTGAGCAACTTCAGCGAACTCAACCATTACAGTGCTGTTATTAATTGTACTTGTATATGCAAACATTATCTTATTTTTCCATGGGGTTAAGAGCCCTGGTTGTGTGCATGAATTTGCTGTGTGTGAGAAGGTTCTCAGAGTTTTCCTGATTTCACCATTAACTGCTCAACACACCAGGACTTGTCTATTTTATCCTCCGCTCCAGTTCTGTTGAGGGTCAACCTAGTGGGAGCAAATCTAAGGGATGCTGCTGGTGTTGAGCAGCCATATTGATTAAGCAACACTGGAAGGCTGCGCTTTCTTGCACGGAGGGGTCAGGGGTCAATTTGCTCTCTGTGCACACAGAGCAGACAGCTACCTTGTTCGATTGGTATTAGTTTGACGGCCTGAACAATGCAGTGACATTGTACGTCTGTAACAAACGGATACTGCCTCAGAAAAATCTAATTGACCATTAGAGATGTGCGGAGGAGCCCGCTGGTCCTGACTGGTGACAGGCCGCTTCTTTATTTCATTCATGCACCACTGCATGCAAACGGTGTCCCGACCCAACATCAGTAATATTCCAATGTATGCGCTCGCTCTTCTGTGGGGTGTAAGAATTATTTTAGTTTAATTAGATTTGAAACAAAAGACATAATCATCTCACTAACAAAAATATTTCTAGAGATTTAATTTAAATTTATGTGTCATTATAATGAAATAAAATCATTTTTATGATAATATAATTTATTATAGGGGCTATATTATGCAAAATCAACCTTTTTTTGAGCTGTTAATTAAGTTATAATGCCGTTCCATCAAAATCATGCCTGAAGTGGTATTTCTCTCTTCATGTATGTCTGACTCCTAATGACCGCGGCGTGCCTGCCCAGTAAACTCATCCCATTTTCTCCGATCAGCAAGCGGTGAAGTGGTTTAACGAGATAATATCTGCTCAAAGTTGATAAGAAAGGGGCTCTTTAGGCACTTACGTAATCTGCACAGTAACAGCATAAAAGATGTTTTTTTGTTCAGCTCGAGTGCAACATCATGAATATGACGAGACTAACGGGGGTAGAACAACAGAAAGCTCATCATGTTTTATAACAAATGAATACTCCGTTGTGTCAAAGGGAATATTTCATATTTCAGCATTTAATTCTTGCCAGATCTGACAGGACCCTTCATAGTGAGGGATGGAGAGTCTGAATGATTCAATACTCTGTATGACTTTCTGCTTTTCCGCTCACAAACCTGGGAGATGGTGACCACAAAGGAAGAATGTTTTAATGATGTCCTTTCTGATGTCTTTAAAGCTTCAAATTTGGTGTCATTTCTTTTAAAAAAGACGTATTTGCTATTTTCCACTTGACACGTTTCATGGTCAACAAAAACAGCGCGTCGCATGGAAGTATTACGTCATATTCATAGTTTTCTGATTGGCTCTAAGCTGATGACGCTGACCCTGTTAGTCCCGCCTTTGAAATGGAGCTCTTCCAGCTCTTTAACATATTGGCTGACCAGGCTAGTGTTTAACGGAAAAAGGCAATATACGCATATAAAAATGTTGCATTTAAGATGAAAAAAAGTGTTAGTCTGTCGATAAGCTCTATCCAGAACTCCTGAAGTAGAAAAGTTTTAGTTTCACCTGGTTTAATTTGGTAAAAGGTCTTCTTTAAGGAACCTTTTGGCTTCCGATTATTAATTGTCTAATCCGGAGGTCTTCAACAGGGGGTCCGTGACCCCTAGGGGTCCATGGAGGTACTGCATGGGGGTCGCAAAAGAAATTTTTTTTTTTTTTTTTTTTGTGATTTTCCCCTGAAATTTTTCTCCACTAATTACAATGTCTTTAAATACACATTAACGTAAATTCAATTCACTTTAGTAAACAGATAAATGGAGGCAGAAGATGTCTTTCAGTCATCAATGCACACATTCAGCGACACACAGGAGCTCTTTCAAGCTGGGTACCGTTTCATTCACACCTGGCCCATCAACGAGGGATAAGAATGAGAAATACTTTAATAATCCCAGGGAGAAATTACTTTTGTTACAGTACTCCATATGTATTACAGTGACTATAGGACCAGTCTTGGCCTGTAAAATGTTGAAGACCCCTGGTTTAATCGAAAAAACAATCAACAGATTAATCGATTTGCAAATTAATCGTTAGTTGCAGCCTTAGTTTCATCTATATTCTGACATCAGAATACCTTGTAGAATTATTTTTTTTTTCAATCTTTGGTCGTAACAGTGGTCGTAATGGCCATATTTAAACAACAGAGAATACAGCGTTCACAAGCAGGAAACTGGATCAGCATCACCTTAGAGATCAAATCATTGCAAATTCCCATTTTTAAGTTTTGAGGTAAATTGAACATGAAATCTCAGCTGAAAGTGGGTCTGTGACTAAATGATGTACCAAATTTTAAATACTATTTTAACCAGTCGGTAAATTCAACTGAAGTAGCCACCCTTCAACCCCTAGGGGGCAGCCCTATGGCTACATTCACACAGCAGCCTGAAGTGACCCAAATCCAATTTGTTTGCACCCATGCGACCTGTATCTGATCTTTCCATGCCAGTCTAAATAACACAGATCTCATTTTTTTTAATGCAACCCATGCCACTTGGTTATGTGGTCCTGAATCCGATACGAATCTAAACTTTTTAAATATGACCTGTGTCTGAACAGCCAGGTCACGTTCATCTGACCTCTATGCCATTAATACTCGACAAAGGGGACGAGTCTGCTTCTTGCTCGCAGATGGGGCAAGAAATACAACCACCATGGTGGACGATAATGTAGAGAGCAGTTTTATATTCAACCATCTTCAAAACATTGTGTTGATGGTGCACTGCCTGAGGTTTGGAAAGATCGCTAGATGCACTCCAGCACTACTATCCATGTTTACTTCCTTAAACATTGAGCACACTCCCTTGTGACGTCATTGCATCCTCTGCTGCACATGCAGAACACTTAAATTTGTAGGGAAGCAGCTGTTCTACATGTTACATTTCCGAATTCTCACGATTGGTGCACGACTTTACACGAGTGAATAAAGTGAATGTGATTGGTCGATTATCAAGGGGGCAGGATTGTTGTCCTTGAAGGTTAACAAGCATGTTTGGTTGTGGCCGGTTTGTCGGAAGCATCTTGCTAACCAGTTAGCAACTTAGTGCTAGTAGGTTCCCAATGGGAAATTACATTTGGACCAATTAGCACTGTCAAGGAACGCTGTGGACAGCGGAAACATGCAAGAGGAGGAGAGTTTTGCATCAGAGGTCGTGGATGAGTCTCCTCCGTAGGGCTGGGTACCGAACTTCGGTTCTTTTATGGTACCGACCAAAATGCTTCGGTTCTACAGGGTATCGAAACATGCCTCGTCTTTCGGTACCAAGTTTCGGTGATTGGCTGTAACACTTAACGTGATTGCGTCATCCAGGAAAAATACACAGGTGGTCACGCCTACAGCCAGGGTTCATGTGTATCTGTAGTGAACTGGTTGTGAGCGTCATGGAACCCCTTTAAAATGCCCCCCAGGTCAGAAGTGCGGCTTCACTTTATTAAGACTGATGCCAATAGTGCGCAATGCAATACATCGTG